GAATTGTGAATTGTAGGCTTGTTTTTCTTTGCTTTATGCCTAAAAGTCCTTATGAGTGAGTACATATTATATTTGTCTTTCTGGGTCTGGGTTACCTCACTCAATATGATGTTTTCTAGCTCCATCCATTTACCCACAAATTTCAAGATGTCATTACCTTTTTTTCTGCTGTGTAGTACTCCATTGTGTAAAAGTACCACTTTTCCTTATCCAGTCTTCAGTCATCTAGGTTGCTTCCAGGTTCTGGTTATGACAAATGCTGCTGCTATGAACATGGTTGAGCACATGTCCTTGTGGTATTATTGAGCATCCTTTGGGTATATACCCAAAAGTAGTATTACTGTGTCTTAAGGAAGGTTGTTTCCTAATTTTCTGAGAAATCGCCAGAAGTATGTAAATCTTTTTTCCCAAATGTTATTTTTTTATTTTATTGATTTTTATTGAGCTCTACATTTTTCTCTGCTCCCCTCCCTGCTTCTCCCCTCCCCTTCAACCCCCTCTCAAGGTCCCCATGCTTCCAATTTACTCAGGAGATCTTGTCTTTTTCTACTTCCATGTAGATTAGATCTGTTATCTCTCTTAGGGTCCTCATTGTTGTCTAGGTTCTCTGGGACTATGATTTGTAGGCTGGTTTTCTTTGCTTTATATTTAAAAAACACTTATGAGTGAGTACATGTGTTAATTGTCTTTCTGGGTCTGGGTTACTTCACTCAAAATAATGTTTTCTAGATCTATCCATTTGCCTGCAAAATTCAAGATTTTTTTTTCTGCTGTGTAGTACTCCATTGTGTAAATGTGCCACATTTTCCTTATCCATTCTTTGGTAGAGGGGCATTTAGGTTGTTTCCAGGTTCTAGTTATGACAAACAATGCTGCTATGAACATAGTTAAGCACATGTACTTGTGGCATGATTGAGCATCCTTTAGATATATACCCAAAAGTGGTATTACTGGGTTTTGAGGAAGGTTGTTTCCTAATTTTCTGAGAAATCACCACACTGACACCCAAAGGGGCTGTAGCAGCTTGTACTCCCACCAGCAATGCAAGAGTGTTCCCTTTATCCCACAACCTCTCCAGCATAAGTTGTCAACAGTGTTTTTGATCTTGGCCATTCTTACAGGTGTAAGATGGAATCTCAGAGTTGTTTTGATTTGCATTTCTCTGATGACTAAGGATGCTGAGCATTTCCTTGATTGTCTTTCAGCCATTTTAGATTCCTCCGTTGAGAGTTCTCTGTTTGGGTCTGTACTCCATTTTTTTTATTGGATTATTTGTTCTTTTGGTGATAAATTTCTTGAGCTCTTTGTATATTTTGGAGATCAGACCTCTGTCTGATGTGGGGTTAGTAAAGATCTTTTCCCATTCTGTAGGCTACTGTTCTGTCTTTGTTGACTGTGGTCTTTTGCTTTACAGAAGCTTTTCAGTTTCAGGAGGTCCCATTTATTATTTCTCTCAGTGTCTATGTTATTGGGGTTATATTTAGGAAGTGATTTCCTGTGTCAATGCATTCAAGTGTACTTCCCACTTTCTCATCTATGAGGTTCAGTGTGACTGGCTTTATGTTAAGGTCTTTGATCCATTTGGACTTGAGCTTTGTGCATGGTGATAGATTTGGATCTATTTTCATTCTTCTACATGTTGATATCCAGTTATGCCTGCACCATTTGTTAAATATGCTTTCTTTTTTCCATTTTATATTTTTTTTGCTTCTTTGTCAAAGATCAGATGTTCGAGGATGTATGGATTGATATCCGGGTCTTCTATTTGGTTCCATTGGTCCTCCTGTATGTTCTTATGCCAATACCAGTATGTCTTCAGTACTGTAGCTCTGTAGTAGAGTCTGAAGTCAGGGATTGTGATGCTTTCAGAAGTTCTTTTATTGTGCAGGATGGTTTGGCTATCTGGGGTTTTTGGTTTTCCATATGAAGTTGAGTACTGTTCTTTCAAGGTATGGGAAAAATTTTGCTGGGATTTTGATGGGCAGAAGTATGTAAATCTTATCTGAGAGTTTTTATAAAGTTTCAAAGCCTATGCAAAATTTGGTTAGGGAGGACTCAGCAAACTGAGACTGTGCCTACAAATTGCTTTGCGTTAGTCTCTTTGGGAGCTTCAGATAAGAGGTTTTGCTATGTGGAAACTGACTTGCTAAAAGGTGTTTAACAATAACAGAGGCCTTGGCTAAGCTACAGGCAGTCAGTTTGCCAGAGGCTGATTCCCCTTCAGCTGCAAAGGCTAAAATGCATCCTAGAGTGCCCCCATTCTTCTATAGACCTTCATGAACCCAACACCCAACACAACATTTAATTCTAGCACTTCAGGCTAAGGTAGTATATCTGTCTGACCTCGAGGCCAGCCTGGTCTACATAGTAAGTTCCAAGTTAATCAGGGCTACATAGTGAGACCTGTCTCATACAACAACCAAAAATAAAAACTACAGATGTGGAGCTGAAGGAATAGCTCAGTGACTGAGAACATTTAGTGCTCTTGCAGAGAAGCCATGTTTGGTTCCCAGCACCCACATAGTAGCTCACAACTGTCAGGGACAGAGCCCTTCTGATCTGTGAAGGCACCAGACACACGTGTGGTACACTTTATAAGTGTAATTTTGATACTGTTATGAATCATAATGTAATATCTGTGTTACGTAATAACATACATGCAGGCAAAATACAGAGAAAATGAAAATAAATCTTTAAAATTTACATAGAGTAGTGTTTTTTTCAACATGTGCATTGTGGCCTCATTTGGAGTCAACAATCCTTAAAAAGTTTCTGTACCCCAATAAACCTCTCTGCTGATGCAATAATCCAAATCAGGTCAAATTAAACCGAATTAGAAAAATCCCAGGTTTAATGGATTCTGGATTGCTTTCCAATCCCCAGAGAAAGGAGGCAGGGAAGGAAGACCAGAAACCCACATGTTCGTTCTCTGGTCACAGTTTAAATACCCTATGGGAGTGGTCTTGAACATCTACGGGGAGCGGTCATTGTCTGGTGGGCTTTCTTTGGAGCTGACTCTGGACTGAGGCAAGGGGGGCAGTTGGGATGGAGGTTCCACCCTAACATTCCAGACTCTTTGAATATATGGATGCCAGGGGCTGGGGTGAAGCTCCCTTCCAAACAATCTTTCCACGGGTTGCTTAAGACCATCAGAAAACACAGATATTACGTTATGATTCATAACAGTATCAAAATTACAGTTATAAAGTAACAAAAATAATTTTATGGTTGGGGGATCACCACAACATGAACTGTACTGAAGGCTAACAGCATTAGGAAGGTTGAGAACCACTGACATGGAGGTGCTAGATGGGGTCTTTATAGCTCAAATCTAAGGAAGTCTATGCCCTGCATGTGGTACATATGGCCAAACAGGCATCTGACCTGACTGTATCCCACTCTTCCATACTGTTACTTTTCTATTGCTGTGAGAAAACATCTTTACCCAGATAACTTACCAAAAAAAACCTTTTAATTGGGTTTGCAGTTCCAAAGGGTTGGAGTACAGATGGTGGATTGAACGTTTGTGGGCGGCAGCGGCTGAGAGCTCGCATCTCAAACCTCAAGCAGGAGGCAGAGAGCACACAGGGATGGTGGGAAGTTTTTGAAATCTCAAAGCCTGCCCTGATACACCTTCTTCAACAGGGCCACACCTCCTAATCCTTTTCAAATAGTTCCAGTAACCTGAGAACATGTATTCAAACAGGAGTCTGCAGGGCCGTTCTCATTCAAACTATCACACTGACTAAAGGCTCTATATTCTGGATGTGACAATTGTTTCCTTTGGTGTCTATGGTGTCCCTCTGTCCCAGGCCCTTCCTGTAAAGTAAGAGACTGAAGTAGAAAATCTGAATTGAAGACCATCATGAGCTACACAGTGTGATCCTGAGATCCTATCTTTTTTTTTTTTTTTTTTTTAAGTCATCCCTCCCCTCAAAAGATTGCTTGGGAGTCTCCGAACCAAGGACTGCTGCTTTTCCTTTGGGAGTAATTCGGTTCATTCACAGGGACTCCAGCTTACCTCAGCCATAGCTGCCTGATTCCAGCAACCTCTAAAGCTCCTCCGCCCTCCCCTTCATGTTCCCAGCTAGCAGAGCTGCAGAAGAGCTGAGAGAAAGTCTCCCGTCCGTCCATGGCTGATTTCCTGCTCATGCTGGTAAGTCACCAAAATATCACCAGATTTTTATCAGCAGAAGTTCCCGAATGAGACTGCTTCAGGGATCACAATGACAAGTGCATTTACTGAAACCACCCCCCTACTCCTAAATTCCCATCATGTTTCACAACCTGTTCCCAAGATGTACAGATCATTATTTTCCAGCATAGGATAACAATCACTCACACAGCATTTACACTGTAGTAGGTATCACAAACTAGATGCTGAGTTAAAGCACACGGGAGGACCTGCATGGGTTCCATACATACATACTATACTGGCTGTGAGGAGAGAGGCAGAACACCCAGTCTGGGGCCAACCAGGGCATTCCTTTTGTACTGGGAGGTGAGAGGGGGCTACGATCGTGTACACGTTTGAGACACTCAAAGAATACATACAAAGGACTTCCATGAATACATGGAAGTACTGTGTGCACACCTGGGGCCTTCAGTGGCCAGAGGGCAATTGATCCCCTAAAACTGGAGCTACAGACGTCTGTGAGCCACCACGTTGGTGTTGGGAATTAGACACGGGTTAGGAGCCATTGCTGATCTTGAGGAGGGCAGAGGTCCGGCTCCCGGCACCCACATGGCGGCTCACACCTATGTGTACCCCCAGTTTCAGGGGATCCGACGAGGTCTCTGACGCCCACGCAGGTGGTACAGACACTCGGACACCGGGTTCAGGTTTCCCCTCGGTCCTCCCGCGAGCGCCAGGGTCTCCGCGGCCGAGCGAACACAGGCTTTCTGGGCTCCCAAAAACCCAACTCCTCAAGCGCGGGTCCCCCTCAGAACAACTTCCGGTGCCGGTAGAAACTCCTCCTCTCCGCCTTCCGGACTCCACCGGCTGAGAATAGGGACTAGAGACGGCAGGGCTGGGCAGTCCACTGCCCTTTCACTGGCGGCCTCCCTGAAACGTCCGTGGAGAGAGGCCAGCGAGTTGCCATAGAAACAGTTTGGGGCGAGGCTGACGCAAGGGCAACGGGAAGAGGATAGAAGTGATTGGTAGCTACTCGTATCTCGTCGTCATTGGCTTCTCATTAGCAAGTGCGCAGTAGGAGGAAAAAGTTCTAGAGAAGGCCGAAGAAGGGTGGCCGATGAGGAAATGGAATAATTCCTCTTTCGCTCTAGAGAAGGCCGAAGAAGGGTGGCCGATGAGGAAATGGAATAATTCCTCTTTCGGTTCCGTGCTGCTCAGGCTTCTGGGAAATGGAGCCCCAGCGGGGCTTGGGGCCGAGTTAGAGGAAGTTGGCAGCGCCAGCACGCCCTTGTCAAGCCCAGCGGAGGGTGCGCGCGCAGCACCTTCGCCTCTCCCGGAAGTTTACGCTGGGCAACTGAAAAGGTGAGTGCAGGTTCTCGCTCCGGATCGGAGCGGGAATCCGGGCCGGGAAACCCGGCGCCCACGGCTCTTTCTAAGTACCGTGGTGAGAGGCCGGTCGGGCGGGGAGCCTGTGACGTCACCGCCTGTGGGCTGTGGAAGTCGACCGTGGCGGGGTTCGGGGGGGTGGGGGAGAACCCCCACTCATACTGTGCTGCCCGTGGGGTGGAGCCTCCGCGGTCCTGTCATTGCTGGTTTCTTTTGGATTGTGGGGCCCAAGTGCAGTTTTTGTTACCTAGGCAACTGTTAGTCCAGCACTTGTGGAAGATTGTCTAGCCTTTGGTCCCCCGGTATGCTGCATTCTAGGGACAGGAGCATAGTCGACGATGCCAAGCTGATGTTAATAAATAAGATAAATTAAATAAGCGGACGGATGCAGAATAAAGGCAAACTTGAGTATAATAGCCGAAATCACTGGCTGTGCAACCTTCGACAGGGGACCTCAGCACTTTGGGTCCCCTTCGTTCCTTCCGGCCGCACTGATTTAGCACTACTGTATGTAAGGATCTGCGCCGCATAAGTCTGTAGCTCTATACTCCAGTGGTAGTGATGGCTAAACGTGGCTAATAGCTAGAGTCCTAGCATTTGGGAGGCCATGTCGCGAGGATTTTGGAGACTAGTGAGTTCCAGGACAGCTCTGCATGGATTACAAAGTGACACCCTGTCCTGGTAATAAAGCTGGGTGTGGTGGTATGTGCTGGTAAATTTAGCACTTGGGAGGTGAAGACAGGAGGCTCAAAAGTTCAAAGTCAGCCTGGGCTACTTAAGGCCCTATCTACAATAATGTGTGTGTGTGTGTGTTTTAAACCTTGCCTAAGGGTTGGAGAGTTGGCTCAATTTTTGAGTGCTTACTGCTCTTCCAGAAGACCCAAGTTGCTTCCCAGTTCCAGGGAATCAATGCATGTGACCTTAATGGGCACTTACATCCACATCCCCATGTGCAGACATACACATACATAAATTGAAATCATAAAGATAAATATTCCTGGGGCTGGAGAGATGGCTCAACCTTTAAGAGCTGCTCTTGCAGAGGACATGGGTTTAACTCCCAGCAGCCTCGTGGCAGCTAACAACTGTCCATAACTCCAAGATCTGTCACCCTCACATAAGCATACATGCAGGGAAAACACTGGTGCGCATGAAATCAAAATAAGTTATTTTTTTAAAAAATAAATATTTCTAAGCCCTGCACAACTAGTTTACATTCTAACATTGGTTGGTTGCCAAACAGAAAATGTAGTCGGTTGTGTAATATGCCTCCATAGAGCCTTACCTGCACGTCTGTGCAGAATCTGGAAAACAGAAGGCTTTCTCTGCCTGCAGTCCACATGGTGCCCGTGGTGGCCTGCCTGGTTCTGCTGTGGTGATCAGCAGAGATAGTGCTGTGCTAGTTCCAGATTCTCTGCCTGTATATGGCATGGATTTGCAGTTCCTGGGGAAGCCAGCAGAGGGTGTCAGTTCCCCTGGAACTGGAGCTGAAGTTAAAGGTGATTGTGAGCCATCCGTCAAACTTGGGTGATAGAGACTTGTTGCAGAATATTTGTTTAACTACGTAAAGATGTGTTGCTGTTTTATCTTGTCTGCCTAAGGCACCTGATTAGTCTAATAAAAAAAACTCAACAGCCAATAGCAAGGGAGGAGGTATAGGCAGGACTTCTGGGCAGGGAGAGTAAGTAGGAGGAGGAATTTAGGTCAGAGGGAAGAAAGAAAGAGACACCAGGAAAATGCCAGGAGCCAGACAGACAGACAGAGGAAGCAGGAAAATAGGACATACACAATGAAAGAAAGGTAAAAAGCCCGGAGGCAAATGAATAGAAACATTAAATTAAAAGAACTAGTGGGACAAGCCTAAGATAAGGCAGAGCATTCGTAATTAATAAGTCTCATGTCTTTATTTGGGAGCCGGTTTGCAGCCCGAAGAAAATTCCAGCTACAGAGACTAGATTCGGGTCCTATAGAAGAATAGTATGAATTCCGAATTATTAAGACATCAAACCTATCCTCAAAACTGACTTCAGTGGATCCCCATAGCCCCTGTTTTGATTGTAATTCACAGTAACAAGATGTGGAACCTGATGTTACCTGTAGTGAGAGGGGGTGACAGCCTAGGCTGGTGACAGCATGGGAGAGCTAGAGGTCAGTGGTTACAAGCCTGGTGTTCCCTGGCTCAGTTTTGTGCCAGCATCACCTTCCACATGGGACCCTCCAGGAACATTCTGCTCTGAAGCTAGGAACCCAGTCCATTTTCTTGATGTTTACTTTGTAAGTCAGAACTGGGTTGGGCTGGCCATGGTGCACATGTGAGACCCCGGCCCTCGGGAAGTGACAGCAGGAATACAAGGCTAGTGCTGCATGAGACCCTATCTCATGGGCACTCAAGTAGCACTTGCTGACTGACCAATGCCCAGAAATATTAGCCAGTACCTTTCCCTTATAAAATGAGCCTCTGTTCATGTCTTCCCTCTTTGCTCTTTTCCAGGCTGTTGTCTCGATGGAGTTTCCAAGGACTAGACCCTGAGTCCACAAAGGTACTGTTGCCCCTGATTACTGTTTCCCACCAAGAGCCCAGCTGTACTGCCTCCTCTCTATGGCTGCTGGTGGACCTCCCTGCCCTGTCAGTTTGGGTATGGCAAGGCTCACCTAGTCAGGCATTGGCTCCTTCAAAGAGGCCACCTTTTCCCAGTGACCACTGAGGAAAATAGACTTAACATGGAATTAGCAAAGAACACCAACAGAAGTAGGTGTGGTGGTGATACCTGTTACCGTGAGGTAAGCCTGGACTATATAGCAAGACCCTGGGCAATGGTTAATATTATGGGCTTGACTGGAAGGATCATCTTGGAGACAAACGTGTGGGAAGGATTATCTAGGTTGTGTTCGTTGTATCCAGAATGTAGGTGGCAACATTTTCTGGGTCCTGGACTGTATAAAAAGGAGAAAGTGATCTGGGCACCAGCATGCATGGCTCTGTGCTTCCTGACTGCGTGCAGTGTGACCAGGTGTGAGCAGCTGCCTGCTTCTGCTGCCATGACTTCTGCCATGACGGACTGTGCTCTTGAACTCTGAGCTTTCAGTTGCTTTTGGTAGGATATATTTTATAACAGAAACAGAGAAAGTAATTGAGACACCGTGTCTCAAACACAGGCACACACACAGTTTATAGACAGAAAACAAACAGGGAGTTTGCAGCGGTGGCACACGCCTTTAATCCCAGCATTTGGGAGGCAGAGGCAGGCAGATCTCTGAGTTTGAGGCCAGCCTGGTGTACAGAGTAAGTTCCAGGACACCCAAGGCTACACAGAGAAACCCTGTCTCGAAAAAATAAACAAACAAAACAATAAAAAACACCAGAGATTTCTAAACCGCTCCACATTTTACATAAGGCAAGTGGACTCTCTGTTCTTACTCAGTCTAGGCTGTGAAATGCCACGGTAACAGATACCCCTAAGTCTGTGGCTTGACACAGTTACACATTCTCTTTCACTGATACCAACTTCACACGACTGTCCATATCCAGTTTTGGTCTGGTGGTTCCAGAGTCACCACCTAAGCTTCAAATTTGTCACCACCAGAAGGGAGAAGGAGAAAGAGACACTAACAAGAAATAAAAATTAAAAAAGCCTCCCCAGTATTTGTGCTTTTGACAAAACAATTGTGTAGTTGGCTTTTTTACTCTGTACTCATTGGGGGGCCCACCACCCAGCTCCCAAGTAATAGCATGGAGAGACTCATTCTTGCCACGCCTGCAGGGCCTGGATGGGGGGGGGCGGGGGGGGCTGGGATTGAGACACGGAGGCTTCTTTTCAGGTGGAAGAATAGCAACCTTTTTTTTTTTTTTGCCCCAAGCTAAAGCCTTTTATACCTCTACTGCTTCTGTGGAAAACCACTGGCCAGAAAGAACACAAACATCCTTGTCAATTAGAGACCACAAGGAAGTTCTTCTGTCAGTCAGGGGGAGTGAGGGCAGCTAGATCACAACAACTCCCCCCCCTCCCCGTTTTATTTTATAAAATAAATGGTGTCTGTCTTGTTACTTTGGGTGGAACACCTTGCGTGTCATGGGGAATAGCTCTCTAATATTCCCTGTCTTAGGTGGTATTCTGCCCCCAAAGTATTGCCCGTCCGTGGCTACCCAAATACATAGCCCTAAACCAAGTATCCCCAGGACTGACAGCGCCAACTAGCCAGACCAGCGCTGCAACCATCTAGCACGCACTAACGGGGTGGTAAAATTAACAAAAGCAGTATTCCAAACCCCTCTCATATGATGGTTGAGTTCCATACAGTAGCAGAAGCATGCAATACACTGCCAGGAGTAACACACATAGCATGATAAAAGCTAGAACATGTTAGCCGTTGAAAAGTCCAAATATAGTCTATTTGCTCCTGAGCCAGAGCCACTTGTTGGTTCAAGGTCAATATTAAGATTGCTGACTCTTTTTAGCAAGCCGGTTGACAGTCTCAGCTGTCTGCACAGTCTGTGAATGAGCAAGTCCGGCAGCAGTAGCTGTGGTGGCAAACCTCTGCTCCAGCTGCCTTCTGGCCCCAGCCACACTCTCTTTGGGTCCAAACTGGTGCATGGAGAGGAGCAGAACTCAGGGAAGCAAGCTCACTGCTCCTGCTCCTGAACCACTGAAGGGGCTCCACTTTAACAATCTTTTAGGGAATTTGGGCGTTGTCAACAAGACTAAGCTGTTGGCCAGGCATAATAAGTCTCTGTGTGGTTATTGGGGGCGGCTGGTGGCACAGAGCTGAGCAAGGGTCCTGAGGAGAACTCTGTCTGCATTTCTCCTCTGTGCTGAGGATATAACCACTTGTCAGGTTGGCTTGTGACTTTCAAACGCAAGTTCTGGAATTCTCTCAATCATCAGTCAGAAGAAACAGGCCCGAAGGCTCTGAGATTTCCCCATGGAAAGATGAAAGTGCAGAAATAGCAGTAAAGGGTTGGTGGAAGCAGCCCAGCTGGGAGAGCTGGTTTCTTCTGCTGAAACACTCTGACCAGATGGAACTTAGGGGAAGAAAGAAAGGACTTGTTTGGCTTACACGTCCAAGGTGCTGTCCGTCGCTGAGGGTGTCAGTATGTACCTGGTTCTGGTTCAGAAACTGGAGGGCCACCGCTTGCCGCTCATGGTCATCTCTCTGGTTCTTTTACAGTCCACGACAGTCTGCACAGTAGACTGGTCCCTTCTGCGTCCACCCACATGAGGCAGTCCCTCAAATGAAGTTTTCCTCTCAAACACTTTCAGGCTATGTCAAGTTGATAATTAAAGCAAAGACATCAAGCAAATATAAAAGACCTGAGTTCAACTCTCAGGACTCACAAAAAAATCTGGGTGTGATAAGCATACACCTATAATCCTACCACTGGGGATTCAGAGACGGGGCTTCGTAAATTGAATTGGCCAGACACACTGTCTTCTTGACAGGCTACAGACAGGGAGAGGCATTGTCTGACACACAAGGTGGTTGGTGCCTAGGGACCCACACCTGAGGCTGACCTTGGCTTTCCCCACGGCTCACATTCTGGATGGTTCATTCTGATCCCTGTCCCCACCTTCTGTGTTGCAGCATGATCTCCTTCTGTCCAGTCTGTGGCAAAGGTGTCAAAGGATCATTCAAGTTCTGCCCATTCTGTGGCAATTCCCTGCCTGTAGAGGAGCATGCAGAAGCTCAGACTGGCCTTTCGCCTCCTGGGTCATCCTTCCAAGGTAGGAGCCAGCAGAGTCCAGCCCCATCCTGCAGCTTCTTACAGCTTCTAGTTGGTGCCGTCCTGTTGGAATTCCTGTCTGCGCACCTGTCAGAGGTGGTATCTGAGCATCAGGACCGCAAGAGGACGTTCCTGTCGCGGTTAAGCATGTTTGCAGGAGCAGAGGAGGCCCTGGGAGATCTGTTTATTTAGCAAACAGTTCACTGGACAGCTGTTCTTAGAGGAAAGATGTGGAGCTGAAGCCAGCAGGAGCACAAGTCAGACTTAGCAAACACAGCACTCCCCTGTCTCCATAGTCCTAGTACCTCGGCTGACAGTTGCACGGCCATAGTGCAGGGCAGTAGTTGGGCTGCGTTGTATGCATATTAGCACACTGAGTGTTTAGTTTCTATTTCTTCTTCAAGGGCACACGTGTGGAGTTTAGAGGGCAGCGTACAGGAGTCCACAGTCTCTCCCCCGTGTGCGGGGTTGAACTCTTGTCGTTAGGTTCAGTAGCAAGTACCCACTGAGCCATCGTGCTGGGCTTCTGCGGTCTTTGTAGGCATCGTGGTGGTGGTGGTTGTCAGCTGTCATGCTATTGGGGTCCACACAAATATCAACGAAGCATGTTTAATGTTTGCAGAAAGGAATAAAAGTGCTTTAAATACTCATAAAAGCATATAAATAGATACGCACATACATAATCATTGCCACATGAAACTTAGTGTATGGGGCTGGAGAGATGGCTCAGAGGTAAAGAGCACTGGCTGCTCTTCCAGAGGTCCTGAGTTCAATTCCCAGCAACCACATGGTGGCTCACAACCATCTGTAATGAGATCTGGCGCCCTTCTGGCCTGCAGGATACCTGTAGGAAGAACCCTGTATACATAATACATAAAAATCTTTAGAAAGAAAGAAACTTAGTGGATGCTTTAAATGGCAGACTAGATAGGGCTGGAGAATTTGCTCCAAAGTCGGACACAGTGGCAACATACCTGTAATCTCAGCATCAGGGAGGCTGAGGGAGGAGAACTGGGATCTTCCTGATTTTAAGACCAATCTAGGCCATATAGAAAGACCTTGTCTTTTCTTTTCGCTTTTTATTGCTTTGTTTTGTTTTGTTTTGTTTTTCTCTTGTGTAGCCCTGACTGTCTGGAACTCTAGACCAGGGTGGCTGTTGTGTCAGGTGTGGTTCACACGGGTCTATGGAAAGAAGACACAGAGGCACTCTTAGGATGGCTTTTTAGCTGTGCCGGGAGGGGGGCAGCCCCTGGCGGATTGACTCACTGTAGCTTTGCAAAGCTCCCAAAGAGACGAAGCCAGTGCAGATTCTCACTTAAGAGACTTCTTGGTTTGCCAAGTCCTCCGCAACCAAGTTTTGTCAAGGCTTTGAACCCTTGGATACTCTCAGATAAGAGTTACATACTTCAGAAAAAAAAAAAAAGAAAATATTACCCAGAAAAGGCAGGTCAAGGCCAGGTGCTTTGAGCCAAATGAGCTGCACAAGTGCAGACACTCAGAGATCCTCCTGCTCTGGCTCGGAGAATAACAGTGCTTGCTGCACAAGCTGACCAACTGGTTCAACCCCTTAGAAGCACAGTGCAAGGAGAGAACTGAGTCCCAAAAGTTGTCATCTGACTTCCGGGTGTGCACATGCATGCTCACACACACACGTGTGTGTCCATGTGTATGCACACATACATATTGATAATACAGTAAATTAAAATTTTCAGAAAAGGTCCTGGTAGTGGTGACATGCACCTTTAATCCCGGCACTCAGGAGTCAAAGGCAGGCAGATCTCTGTGAGAAAGTTCCAGGACAGCTAGAACTGTTACACAGAGTAACCTTGTCTCAAAAAAAAAAAAAAAAATCAAAAAAGAAGTTGCTTAGAAGACAGCAAAATGACAAGTCATGGAAGATATAAAAGAGGCTGGGGCTGGTGGAAAAGAGATAAGCGGGAAGAAGGAACACTGGGTCAGGGCAGTAGAGACAGCAGGGCTGCTGCGTTCAGGACTGGCTGTGCCTGGAAGGCCCTTCAGAACTCTAATCTGCATTTGGTTCACCTTTAGGCGCAAGGAGAGGGCTGAACTCCAGTTCTGAAACCTCTCCCAAGAAAGTGAAATGGTCGCCCACTGTCACTTCTCTTCCACCCTCTGTCCGTTCTGGCTGTGGCAGTTCTGACTCTGAAGAATCCTTTAATTCTCCTGAGAGAGCCACAGGTGAGAGAGAGCTGGGACTGGTCCATGTCTGGAACGGGCAAAGATGGGGCATTTGAGTGTGCCTGGTCCAAGGGGCTGGAGAGGAGGCTCAACGGCTGAGAGTCCTGGCAGCTCTGGCTCCAGGGGCTCCAGTACACTCCTCTACCTCCTAGGCACTGCACAAACACACAGACATGGTCAAAACTAACATAAAACCAAGAAATTAAAGCAATGTTTGAGGAAAAACTGCTGCTGTTTCAATTCATTGCCTGGAACTTCTTCCCAGTGTCCCCTTCCTGTCTGTCCCCACAGGTACCTTTCACACCCGCAAGTCGATCCATTGCCCACAGTCCATGCCCCTGCCTTGACTCTGACCACTCCACAAACCCAGCACCTCGCTTATCTGTGCTCCTTTATCATTCTGTATGTTTTCTAGACAATTTCTTTTGTTTGTGTTTGAGACAGGTTCTCACTATGTAGCCTAGACTGGCCTGAAACTCACAGCTATCCTCCTGGCTCAGCCTCCTAAGAACTGGGATTATGGGAATATGCCATCACAGTCAGTTTCTGAGTAATTTCTTCGTCTCTAGCTCCCAATTTATGATTTCTTTCTCTAGCCATATCTAGCCTGCCACTTAAAACACATACTGTGTTTCTGACTCCATATCCCAGTATCAGCTGAGCCACTTGAGCTTGAGCATCTCTAAGTTCTGCTCCTGTGTTCCCTCAGACCAGCTTGCCTTCACCACCTCTGGCCTGATGTGCTCCCCAGTTCTCCCCATTTAGAGACTCCTTCTGAGCTTGTGAGTGTACATTGAGGCCTCTGCTCCCTCTGGCTGGACCTGCCCTCGTTTGTCCACTTGTCAACCTCTCTACCTGCCCTGCATGTTCTTTGTGGAAAGGACCATACAGGACTCGTGTGTCTTCCCAGCTCTGGCTTCCTGGGCCTTCTGCATAGCTCAACACATAGCCAGGACCCATTTCAGGGTATTTTGGAATGACTGTCTGTGATGCCCTTTCTATCGGGCAGACTTCTATTAACCCGTAAGACCCTGTTCCAATGTCCCCTCCCCGAGAAAGCCTCCCTTGACTTCTTCCGGTCACCTATCTCTTCTCTGGCCCCAATATCCACCTTGACTGCTTCATCTCTGATTCAATTCTGACTGGTTATATCTAGGTCATAATCCCTACCATACTGGGAAGGGTCCAGACCTGACCCATGAGGGTCTCCGATACTGTAGAACAAAGATTTTGCTCTGTGGGAGCCAAGGGATGGTGTGGGAAGTCCTTCTGTCTATGTGTTGCTTTTATTGGTTAGTAGAGAATCTGTCTTGGGCGTGGCAAGGCAGAATAGAGGTAGGCAGGGAAAACTAAACTGAATGCTGGGAAGGCAGAGTTAGAGACCATGTAGCTGCCAGCTGGCACCTTGCCGGTAGACCACAAACCTCATGGTAAAATATAAAATAGTAGGAGTGGGTTAATTTAATATGTAAGAGCTTGCTAGGAATATGCTATAGTGATTGGCCAAGCAGTGGTTTAATTAATACGGTTTCTGTGTGGTTATTTCGGGTCTAAGTGGCCGGGAACAAACAAGCAGCTTTCCCACAACACAGCAAGAATCCCCAAATGAGTAGGAGGAGGATCTCAGCCCTGCTTCTCTCTCCTGCTTTCTCTTTATCTGGTTGTCTCCCTGCAGGTACCTGGAGCAGACCCCTGACCCCCAGAGGCAGTCCCCAATTGTCCAGGCGAAGTCCTCAGACACTGAAGCGGAGCCGGATGACCACCAACCTCCAGGCTTTGCCCACAGGGACAAAACTGACAGACAAGAAAGGACAGCTCTGGACACTGGGGGCCCTCCAGACCCGGGATGACCAAGGCATTCTCTATGAAGGTACATGCTGTCCCAGTGCACAGGGGAAGCACCACAAGGACACGGGAGGTATAATACCCAAGGACAGCAACTTGAAGGAGGAAAGATCAGCCAGGGCGCAGGGTTCCACCAGTGTTAATCCGTCAGGACAGGGAGAGCAGAGCAGCTCAGACCAGGCACACAGGAACCAGAGGAAAGGGTTCCAGGAGATGACCAAGGCAAGGGGTGGCCATCAGGGACATACCCCAGTTGCCTCTTTCCTCTAGCTGGACCCCACCTCCCAGTGATGCTGTTATATTTGAGTCCTTCAAAGGACTAACCCATCCTTGAGGTCAGAGCCCCAGGACCTCCTCATCTCTGGAAGCCATGGGAGTCTCCCGGAAGACTTCCCTAGCCTTGCTACTCCTCAGTCCCATCAAGTTGATGGTCAAGATAGCATCAGGGCGGGGTGTGGTGAAGGGCTGGCTGCTCTGCTCCCATCCTGCTGGGAGAAAGTGGTGGATTGGGTTCACAGTTCCAGTTCATGATAACAGGGAAATAAGGTAGGAACTTGACGGGGGCTGGTTACAACCATAAAGAACAAAGGACAAAATTGAATGCATGTTTGTTTGCTTGCTTGCTTGTGCTCAGCCTGGCATCTCCACTCTTACAGCTCAGGGCCCCTTCCTAAAGAAGTGCCACCCACAGTGGGTTGAGTTTTCCCACATCAGTGCAGACAATCCCCACAGGCCAACCCAGTGCAGACAATCCCTCATTGAGACTTTCTCCCCAGCTAATTCTAGATTGTATCATGTTGACAAATCTAACTATCACACTCACTTAATCTCTGGAACTTTGGAGAGGAGACGGAGGGAGGCAAATACACATAAAGGAATAGGTGTTGAGCACCAAGTGTGCACTTTGCCATGGGAACCAGAGAACTGGCTCCTGGTTCTGACAGCTTGGGGATCGGTGGCCCTGGCTCTCCCCTTAAGTTCTGAAGTTTCTCTCTCTGCCATTCCACAGCTGAGCCCACTTCTGCCCTCCCCTGTGAATCAAGGACTGAGAAGTATAGATTCTCACTCAAGCTGGTGAGTGGTCCAGGGGAAGCTTAGAAGGGAGGGTGCAGGGCTTTCAAATTAACCCTTGACTTCTGAGTCCCCTCGCAGCCTGGGGAGCCAACCCTGGAAACAGGGTGCTCCTAGTCTGTGAAGAGCCATGGGACTCTGACCGAGCACACTCCTTCACTTTGGGGAGCAGAGGTGAGACATGGTGCTTCCTGGTCATGTGACACTCTCCCCTCTCAGCTCCAAGTTTCTGCATCAGTACTGCTGACTTCCTGAGCCTGCCTGCCCACTGCGGCCTGCCTCCTACATAGAATGTGTCAGCTTTGTGTGACAGTATTTCGGTGTAAAACACATCAAGGGAGGAGGGATTTATTTGGTTCATGGTTTGAAAAATATGAGTATATCATATGAGGGTATTGCCAAGCAGAGCATGTCACTTGTCAATCATATGGGGAAGATGTGGCCCAGAGCAGTTCTCGTTGTGGCAGCCAGGAAGCAGAGAGTCTGAGAGAGCATGAGCAAGAGGATGTGGCAGTGGACAGTATCTGTGCAGACCCCTGCGGCCTAATGCCATCTGTTTCAAGTTCTGTGTGACGTACCCCAGCTGTCTGTGTGTGACGTGCCCCAGCTGTCTGTGTGTGACGTGCCCCAGATGTCTGTGTGTGACGTGCCCCAGCTGTCTGTGTGTGACGTACCCCAGCTGTCTGTGTGTGACATACCCCAGCTGTCTGTGTGTGACGTGCCCCAGCTGTCTGTGTGTGACGTACCCTAGCTGTCTGTGTGTGACGTGCCCCAGCTGTCTCTGTGACATACCCCAGCTGTCTGTGTGTGACGTACCCAACCCCGTGCACTGCCTCTGGATCCCATCAGCAGTCTTTGAGGTTGCCACTGCATTCCAAATTAACAGACAGAAGAAAGGAATGGAGAGAGATGGGGAGGGAAAGGGGCAGGAAAAAAGGAAGAGAGGAGTCGGATTGGGGGTGCACCTCAGTTAGTATAGTACCTGCCAGTGCACAGACCCGGAGTTGGATTGGGGTGCACCTCAGTCAGTTAGTATAGTACCTGCCAGTGCACAGACCCGGAGTTGGATTGGGGGTGCACCTCAGTTAATATAGTGCCTGCCAGTGCACAGACCCAGAGTCGGATTGGGGGTGCACCTCAGTTAGTATAGTGCCTGCCAGTGCACAGACCCTGCGTCTGTCAGCACACTGCACAAGCCAGCTGTGGTTCATGCCGTCACTCCAGCATTCAGAATGCGGAGGCAAGAGGATTCAGTCTTCAGCTACATCAAGAGTTTGAGGCCAGCATTGGATACATGAGGCCATGTCCTAGAAGAATTTGGGGCTGTAGAGGATGGGGAGGAAGGGAAGGGAGACCAGGGGAACAGAAAGAGAGAAGACTGTTGGGCAGAAACCTGGCTGTGTTCAATCTTTAAAATACATATTTTATGTGAATGAGTATGTGAATGAGTATTTTGCCTGCTTGTATATCTTTGTACCATTTGCTTGTTTGGTGCCCACAAAGGCCAGAAGAGGTGCCAGGTCCCCTAGAGCTGGAGTTACAAGTGGTTGTGAGCTGCCTGATGTAGGTTCTGGCAACCAAACCTGGATTCTCTGAAAGAGCAGCCAGTCCTCTTAACCACTGAACCGTCTCTTCAGCCCCTGACACACCTTTTTTTTTCTTTTCTTTCCTTTTTTTTTTTTTTTCTTTAAGACTGGTTCTCAATACATAGGCCAGAGACCAGGTTGGTCTGGATTCCCTGGTAGTGGTGGTCATGTCCTCATTGGCCAAAACTTGGTCATGAAGCTCTGCCTCATTGCAAAGGAGGCTGGGAAATTTTAGCTAAGGGCCACATGTCTAGGGCAAACTTGTGGGTCTTACCATGAAATAATCAAGGGGGTGGGTACTGAGAAGCACAGCCTGCTCAGTCAGGATCCTTCAGTACTGTCCTGATATAGGGACAGGAAGACACTCAGTCTGTTGGTGTCACCCTGGGGTCTGGCTGAGAATTTGGGGCCCTTGTCTAAGGGAGTTTGGTATAACAGCCTCTGCCCTCCTCTCACCCCCAGGACTCCAAGGATGGGCGCCTTTTCAATGAGCAGAACTTCTTTCAGAGGGCAGCCAAGCCTATGCAAGGTATTCCTTGGGGGCTGTGCAGGAGAGTTAAGTCGAGTGCTAGGGTCCACAAGGTGCTCCACGGTGACTGGGCAAGTGACAGGGTCCTCAAGATATTTAATGAAAATGGGTATGCATCTACCTGCACCCACAATCTGACTCCCATCACCCTCAGCCCTCTGGCCTCAGAAGACAGCTGTGCAGAGACAAATGGTGATTGTCAGCGCACTGTATGACAGTCACATCACAAATCTTAGGGAAATTTTTAACTAAAAATTGGTTACTTTCAAAACAAACATACACATGGTGCCTGGTGTCCTAGACTTTTCTGTTCTGTAGCCATGCTCCATCATGTGCTCAGAGGGCACTGCCTGCTCTGCCCCCCATCCAGCTGCGCTCACGCCTGTGCTGCTGCTGCCGACACTGGCCTGCTGGGAAGTACTTACCCTGTAGGTCAGAGCTGACCTACCAGCTGCCATGGAGCCCGCCAGCCTGCACCTGGCCAGATCTCAATAGACCCAGCCCCTCTGCACTAGCCAGGGGCCAGTGATGCTGTGGCTGGTTAGATTTCTGCTAATTTTATCAGCTTTGCATGTAAACTCAGAGATCACCCTGTCCGCCCTCCCTTCTTCCTTTTCTTTCTTTCATTATTTTGAAACTGGGTCTCATGTAGCCCTGGGTTTCTGGAACTTGGAATGCAGTCAAGGCTAACATTGAACTCCTGACCGTCCTGCGTCCACCTCCTGATTTGTGGGATTCCGTGTGCTCCAGCATGTTCCATTTTATGCAGTACTGAGGATGGAACCCAGGACATTATATATGCTAGGGAGGCACTCTGCCAACTGAGCCTATCAATGCTCATACCTGTTGCTCTTAACCTCTTCCCCTCGTGCCAGCTTTGTGCATGTTTGCCCAGCAGTTGCTGGCAGAGGTGGTTCACAGATGTGCCCACTCTGTCCCACCTCTTGTCACTGTCACCTGCAAGGACATCATACCATTGAGGACAAATGAAGAGCCCAAAAGTCTGGTCTGGGCTCTCTGCGTCTGGCTAAGCAGGGCTTGTTCCTGTGAACCTGGCCCCTGGCCGTGAGTCTGACCCGAGTCTCTACCTCATGCAGTGAACAAGTGGAAGAAGCGATGCTTGGTTCCGCTCCTGGCCATCCCCACCTGTGTTGGCTTTGGCATTCACCAGGACAAGTACAGGTGAGTCGCCTCACTTGCTGCTGCACTCCTTACCCCAGCCAGTGGCCCCTCTGCTGTATAAGTAGGCTTTCTCAGGGGGACATCTGTGCCCTTCTTCAGAATGGGGCTGTGGCTCATATGACCAGGGTAGGTCCAGCTTTCCAAGTGATGAATTTTATTCAGCTTAACTTACAGAGCAGCAGGTGACCTCAGCATCTCTTCCAGCAAAGTCTCACCTCCCGTAATTGTTCCTTTCTTTTATTGGGCTGCAGAGCGGAAGGGAAAAAAGCAAAGTGGAACGGGCAGCAAAGAGAGTGAAGGCTCAGAGACCCAAGAGTAAGGAAGGGCGGCATACCTACGAGGCCCCTGCTTGCTGAGAGCTGGGATGTGGAAGCTGGTAGAAGCAAATGGGATTCTTTACAGTCTGGTCAAGGACTAAGGGGTGAAGAACCTCAGTCCCCATAGCTGCTCCAGGGCATTGTGAGAACTTACAGGGAAGAGGGACAGGGAGCTCAAAGGCAGAAACACAGAGCTATGGACTAGCACTGGCGGAGATGGGTGTCCTAACTCACCCTGTCCAATTCCTGTGAGATACCTTGTAGGGCTTGTAGCTCCCATGGTTCTGTCTTCTAGGTTCCTGGTGTTCCCCAGCCTGGGGAGGAGCCTTCAGTCAGCCCTGGATGACAACCCAAAGAATGTGCTATCAGAGAAGTGTGTGCTGCAGGTGGCCTACAGGCTGGTACGTACCTCAGAACCACTCCTCCTCTTCAAATCCCAACTTCCCCATCAGACAGAGTAACTCATCTTCATGGGTACACAGGGGCCAGAACACCAGTGGTCTAGTTGGGCGGGTAATGATATCCTGCAGGATCAGCCTGGAGGCCCAGCCTGGAACAAAAGGTGCAGGCCATGGAGCCTGGACTCTCAGGACGAATGGGAACGATTAGGATGCTGGGTGGAAGAATGGCGTTGGTATGTAGGAGAGAACTTTCCAGACTAAGGAGGCAGCTTGGGCCAAGGCTTGTGTCTTACTTACCTTTTTATTGCTGTGATAAGACTGTGACCAAGGACCACTTCAGGAAGAAAGGTTTCTTTTGGACTCATGGTGGCAGAGAGTTAGAGCCATGTGGCAGAGTGGCAGGCGGAGGAGAAGCTGAGCGCTCAGCCCGACAGCCCTGAAGCAGCCTGCAATGCGAATGCAAGGAGGCCCCAGAAGCACCTCCTCCAACACGGCTGCATCTGATTCTTCTCAGACAGTTCCGCCAACTAGGGACCACGTACTCAGACAGCCAGGACTGCTGGGGACACCTCACTAGGGACCACATACTCAGACACCCAGGACTGCTGGGGACACCTCACTAGGGACCACATACTCAGACAACCAGGACTGCTGGGGACACCTCACTAGGGACCACATACTCAGACAACCAGGACTGCTGGGGACGCCTCACTAGGGACCACATACTCAGACACCCAGGACTGCTGGGGACGCCTCACTAGGGACCACATACTCAGACACCCAAGACTGCTGGGGACACCTCACTAGGGACCACATACTCAGACACCCAGGACTGCTGGGGACGCCTCACTAGGGACCACATACTCAGACACCCAGGACTGCTGGGGACACCTCACTAGGGACCACATACTCAGACACCCAGGACTGCTGGGGACACCTCACTCGGACCAGCACAGCTTGTGCAGAGATGTTGCTCGCTCCCACACTCATTCATTCACTCCTCATGCGCTCACTAAAGAGTCACCTGGTTCCCAGCTTTCTCTGGCTGCGATCCTGTCTTCCTGTCTTCATTCTCACAGTTAGGTAGACAGGGCTCTGGCAGACAGTTGGCTTTCAGAAACGACCCCTGCTTGCCAGGCAGTGGTGGTGCACACCTTTAATCCCAGCACCAGGGAGACAGAGGCAGGTGGATCTCTGAGTTCAAGGTAGTCTGGTCTACAGAGCAAGTTCCAGGACAGCTAGGGCTACACAGAGAAACTGTGTCTCGAAAAACAACAAAAAAGAAATGACCCCTGCTTAATGAAGAACGCGGAACCAGATCACATAGCTGGAGAGATGTAAGCACCACGGGAGTGATGTGCTCATTGGGTGAGGGGAATATCCTGGCATCGTCTGTAGTGTGAGGGAGGTCAGTGCTTGCAGAGAACAGCCATCAAGTCCACCACACAGAGTTCGAATGCCAGGTGAGGAGAAAGGGTGCTGGGGGCAATGGGAAAGAAAGCTGGACAGATGAGGCAGAAAGACCCGCAGGCCATGTGGGGTTGAGGCAGGATGAAGGCCCAAGTGAGGATGGGAATTGCAGAACATCCTGGCCAGGGGAAGGAGAGATTATAGAAGAACAAGTGGCCCCAGGGTCAAGTGGGGCTCTGGAGACAGAAGCAGAATGTGACTGACACCCAGGTGGCTCCTCATGACTGTTCAGAGTTCAGTGTAAAAGTCTGAGCTGGAGATACAGGTAGAGATTGCTGGAAAGGGACGCCGGTCAGCAGCAGAGCTACTACTAGAACCCCCAGTAAGGGGCTTAGCAGTTTGCCTCTTCACTCTTAGAAACACAAGCAGAGCTCTGGTGTTGAAAGTGCCAGTTATTTCTGCAGAGGGACTCTAAATCACAGGAGGTAGATGGAAAGCTAACTGCTGATTTTTTTTTTCTGGATTTTTTTGAGACACAGTTTCTCTGTGTAACAGTCCTGATGTCCTGGAACTAGCTCTGTAGACTAGGCTGGCCTTAAACTCACAGAGATCCGCCTGCCTCTGCCTCCCGAGTGCTGGGATTAAAGGTGTGCCCCACCATGCCTGGCTCACTGCTAAATTCTTCAGAAAGTCTAACTTGAGCCATGACCAGGCATGCTAACCCAGTGAACTGCCTCCTGCTGCGCTAGAACTTGGTAGGATCCCCCTTCAGTCCAGTCTGGTGTCCCTAGATTGAGAGAGTTGCTCCTTTCCTGTTTGTCATGGCTCTGTCAGTCATGCCCCCTCGACATCTTCTCCCTCCAGCTGGATGCTCTGGAGTTCATCCATGAAAATGAGTATGTTCATGGGAACCTGACGGCTGGAAATGTCTTTGTGAATCCCAGGGATCTAAGCCAGGTAAGAGCCACACCGCTCCAACACACATGCATGCACACGCGCACACATGCATCAACACCCCTTTCGTGCGGCTGGGGATGTGGCTCCATTGGTAGAGTACTTGCGCAGCGTGCATAGAACCTTGGCTTCCATCTCTGAGACCAGATAAATCGAGCATGTTGTCACTCAACTGTCTTCCCAGCAGTCAGGGAGTAAATACAGGAGGATGGGGAGTTCAATCACTCAAAACCAGGTGCATGCCTTTAATCCCAGCAGTTGGGAGGTAGAGGCAAGTTATCTCTGTAAATTCAAGGACAGCCTAGTCTATGTAATGAGTTTCAGTACAGCCAGGGCTATGTCGTGACTATCTCCAGTCAGTGTTACAATTTGGGAATGAAGCATCTTTCCAGAGGCTGGTATGCTGGTGGTACTTTAGAGGCTGAGGTGGGTGGAGTGCTGGAAGTCCCGGCAAAGTCTCTTGCACAAAGCAGCTTGAGTGTTAAGCTTTGTTCCCAGAGTTGGGTTTGTGAGTACCTGCATCAAAGGGCTCTAACTCCACACTAGACTAGACTTATTTACTGATGGAGCCATACTTTGGAAATCAGGAGTGGGGCTCCAGGAGCATGCCTTTCAAGGATAAATTTTGTCTTGTCCTTGCTTCCCCTCCATTGCTCTCCCTGATCCCCAGTCACCGTGAGGTGAGAAGTCCCCACTATTTGGTCCACCAAGATGTTCATTCTCACCTGAGGTCCAAAGTAGGGATGCAGCTGAGTTTATGCCTAACCTTCTGCACCAATAGGCAGCCGCAACCTTCCCCTTCAGTGCTGTCAGGGCTATAGACAGCTGCTGACACAGGCATCTGTGCCCACAGAGTCTACCACCAAGGCTGCAGTCCTAACCTCAGGTCTGTGTGCCTCTTTGTCCACAGGTGACCCTGATGGGCTATGGCTTCACCTTCCGCTACTGCCCGGGTGGCAGACATGTGACCTACAAAGAAGGCAGCAGGAGCCCCCATGAGGGAGACCTGGAGTTCATTAGTGTGGACATTCACAAGGGATGCGGTGAGGGGGGGGACCTGGAGGTCATTAGTGTGGACATTCACAAGGGATGTGGTGAGGGGGACCTGGGGTTCACTAGTGTGGACATTCACAAGGGATGCTGTGAGGGGGACCTGGGGTTCACTAGTGTGGACATTCACAAGGGATGCGGTGAGGGGCTCAACACCATGACATGCTCCTCATCCTGGGCAGCTCCGTGCATTTTCAGTCTTAGGCAGGAGACACCAGAAATAAAGGGTCAGAAAAGGTCCCATGATGGAGACTGGGAATATAAGCAGTATCCTGGCCATGTAAAGGATTTGTCCCCATCAGCACCAAGGAGAACTGGATGGTGGCCTTGGAGCAGTGGGGATATGGGATTTAGGACAAAGGTAGGCAGCTTTGTCGTACTTGCAGAGGTGATGCGTGCTGCCATCGGGTCAGCTAGGAATGCAGGTGGAGAAGTGGGGCCATCCATTACTGGGCATGAGATCTGTATGGTGTCATGAGAGTTAAGCATTGAACAAGAAGGGTCCGGTTATCCATGGGAAGTGTGCAGGAGGGGTGACCACTCTAGGTGGATTCTCCATCCCCTTTCTTGAATCTCGGTGTCATGACCGTCCACATCTGCTTCCATCAGACGAGTCTCTGAGCAGGGCTGGCGCCTGTGCTGCACCAGGGCAGGAGGGGAAGCTGCTGCTGCTGCTGCTGCACTTGGCACACAGCTGTCTCAGCAGTGACTTAGGAGGCCAAAGGAGCGTCCGCCTCATGCTGCTGGGTCTGCCCTGTTCTGTCTCTGTGATGAGGTAGCTCCATGCTGCAATCTTTTCCCACTTATCTGGATGGGAAATGAACTCCAGTCTGTTTGGGAGGCCGGGCCTGGTAGACAAGCCCTCAGAGCTCATTGGATTAAGTGTTTTAACAAAAGATGACTCGGTAAGAGTAATTGGGACAGGTAATGCAGTATGTGAGCGTCATGGGGAGAATAAGAGAGGCTGGGCACTGAGCATGACGGCTAAGACAGTCTTCATGACTCTTGATGGAAGGTTAGGGATAGACACGGGAGGAGGTGGAGTGTTGAGACTGAGCCACCACCTCTCCCTTTTCTCCCCAGGGCCCTCTCGCCGTAGTGACCTCCAGACCTTGGGCTACTGTATGCTCAAGTGGCTTTGTGGGTCTCTGCCATGGACAAACTGCCTTCCCAACACCGAGGAGACCACTAGGCAGAAGCAGAAGTGAGTATAAGGGTCTCCAGCACCCAGTCCTAGCCCAGGCACCTGTTCAGGGAGGGGAGGAATTCAGATCCCAGCGGGAAGCTGAGGGGTGGGAAGGCAGCCACCCACAGAACCACAGCTCTCTGCAGCCTCAAGTAAAGTCTCTGAGGTATATTCTAACAGAAGGGAGTACTGGATTAGTACCTGTGGGCCCCCGTGTTCCCCCACCATGGACTGCTGTATAGCACCCAAGTCACGAGCTGTGGTGGGTTAGGAGGTGAGCGTACTCTGCACAGGCTTCATGCTCATTGCATACAAGACACGGCAACTCATTCATATGGCATGCACCCCTAGACACCCTGCTTCCATGCCCCAGGACTAGTGCCTTTGGTCTCAGCACGGAAGTCTCCGGCCCTAACAGCTGCTCTTTAAGCAGCTGGTAAGAAGGACAGAGGGAAGCAGTGTACTGGGACTCAGCACCAAGGATAGCAGCAGGAAACCCACTTTGGGACTGGGCACTGTGGGCCACCAAGGAAACAAAAATGGCTTTGAAAGGAGGCACTCTACTGTGCACTTTGGCACTGAGGACAGTTAGATGTTGGCACCGGGTCTGCCATATGGTGAGGAAATGGGGCAGGGTCCATAGGGTGTGGTGCTCAGCACAGGGACTTTAGACACCGGCCCTGGGGATTCCCCGGAGGTTCTGGCTCTGTCCAGACTGGACGGCAGCAGGTCCTGCGACCATCCAGGATGGACTTCACAGGCGGACAGAGATCAAGCCTCTAGGCTGTCTCTAGGATTCTCAGTAGGGCCTTTGGAGGATGAGATCTCTGAGAAAAGAGGGAGCACCCAGGGAACACCCCCAAGCTGCTTTGCTTCCTGTTCTTGGGGTACTATGACTCCTTGGTTGTTGTTCCCCCACGGCCTGTGCCACTAACTCTCCTGTTCAGCCACAGCATATAGTGCTGTTCCCACGGCAGGAGAATAGTTTCCTTTCGAAATGGAGCCCAGTGGAGTGAGCAGGTGGCCCAAAGGCCAAGGGTGGCAGGTTTGTGAGATGCTCCTGTGACTTAGACTAGGGACACTCCAGGAAGCCTGCAAACACTGCAGCTCTAGCAGGTGTGCTGGCTTGTGTCTCAGGCGGAGAGCCTTGACTCTGCAGCATGAATCTAGTTTCCTTATGTCCATATCTGCTCCACATCTCCTGGCCACAGAGAACACACTGGGCATCCGAGATGTAGTGGTGCCATAAGCAGTGAGGAACACTGTGTGAGCCAGCCTGGGCTTGAGTGTGGACACAAAGGTGATGGAAAGAAGCAGTCAGCAGGTGAGGGTGGTGGCCTAGAGTGATGAGGGAAAAGAGACACCCTCTTCCCAGGTTGCAGAAAGCAGTGAGTGGCAATGAGGCCTGTGGTTCTAGGAGTATGGGACAGGGGCTGCTGGTGGGCACTGTGTTCCTGTACTCTGCACTGGGGAGTCACTTGGAGGGGTAGGGCTGGGGCTGCTCAGAGAGAGACCATAGGGCCCTTGCAGAGTCTCAGAGTAGGAGGCCTGAATTAGCCATAGCCAGGAAGGAGCACAGTAGGAACTAAGGCTCAGGAGGGTGGCCTTGAGAAAGCTTGACTGGAGGCTGGAGAGGAGGTGAATGGTGGAAGCCAGCTTGGAGTCTAGATAGAGAACCGGTGGGGTAGGGACTTGCGGATGCTTTCCTAAGTGGGGAGTGTTTGCGTGTGTGGTCCATCCTCACATATTAAAATATTTCATATTGTGATCCTACTGAAGGTATCTTTAACAACTAATGCAGTCTTGTGGAATTGGGTGTTCACCTGTAATCTCACACAGTCACCAGACATGCAGATTCCTAGGCCTGGGGGTAGCTCAGTACAGGGTCTGCCTAACACCTGTAATCCCAACGTGAGGAGGTAGAGGCAGGAGGATCAAAAGCTCAACTACAGGGGGCTGGAGAGATGGCTCAGTGGTTAAGAGCATTGCCTGCTCTTCCAAAGGTCCTGAGTTCAATTCCCAGCAACCACATGGTGGCTCACAACCATCTGTAAAGAGGTCTGGCGCCCTCTTCTGGCCTTCAGGCATACACACAGAATATTGCATGCATACATACATACATACATACATACATACATACATACATAAAAAAACTCAACTACAGAGTGAATTAAAGGCCAGCCTGGGCCACACGACATTATGCCTCAAAGCACTAAACCCTCAATAGCGCTGTGAAGGTTGCACGTTAGCTAGTTGAGGGAGCTGCTGTGAGCAGAGGTTTTGGGAACTGGGCCCCTGGTTCCCCACACTCAGCATCCAGAGCTGTGATGTGGCTGGAGGTTTCTCTCCTGCCCACCAGTTCACACACATGAGCCCGGAGGCGTGCTGCTAACTGCAGACTGCGCGGACTGTCAGCTCAGGCTCATTAACTCCTTACAACGCCACCCTCTCTGTTCATCTGTGTCGCCACCTGCCCCGTGGCATCTTCCTCCTGCGGCTGCTGGCGCCTCCCAGACTCTGCCTTCTTTTTCTCTGTATCTTTGCTTGGATTTCCCACCTGACTCTATTCAGCCTGGCTACTGGCCAAATCACCTTCTATATTAACCAATGGTAATAAAACATATTCATAGATACAGAAGGCCATCCCACATCACTGTGGTTCTGGGTCCATTAATTGAATTCTCACGGCAAATCTGTTAAGACATAAATACATAAATACCACACTTGAGAAGTGTGGGCGTTGGGTGTGTTTGTTTGTGCACATACACATGTGTGCATGCTGTGTATGTGTGTATATATGTATAGAGGACACCTCATCTTTTTTTTTCTTTCTTTTTTTTTGGTTTTCCGAGACAGGGTTTCTCTGTAGCTTTGGAACTAGCTGGAACTAGCTCTTGTAGACCAGGCTGGCCTTGAACTTACAAAGATCCGCCTGCCTCTGCCTCCTGAGTGCTGGAATTAAAAGCATGCGCCACCACCACCCGGCTAAGGACTCTTCACCCTAAGGACACATCACTTTCCTTTCCCATGTGCTTCTCCCCTGAAGGTATCTGGGCAGCCCTGAGCTTTTCGTGGGACTGTGTGGCCGCTGGAACAGGGTCTCAGGTATGTCCTATGTCCTGGAAAGGATGGGCAGGCAGGCAGGCCACATGGCTTGGAGACCTTTCTTTACCTACTGTGTTTTTCTTCTTTGAGTTTTCCCAATTACATGTGCACTATGTGTACCTCTTGTAAGAAACAAACAAACAGAAAACATGTGAAAATGTGTAATGTCTCCCAACAGCAACTGAACACACACACACACACACACACACACACACACACACACACAATTCTTGGGTTGTTTTGAAGCTGGGAGTGGAATCCAGGGCTGGTGCAGGCCAGGCAGATGCTCACCACTGAGCCATATCCCAACCTTTATACATAAGTTTTTCTTTTACTTTTAATGGATCTTTATACATTTTGTTTATTTAATTTGATATAGGGTCTTCTATATCATCCTAAACTGGCCTCAAACTCACTGTGTACCCCAGACTTGCCTTGAAATCATGCTCCTCCTTCCTCCACCTCCAGAGGTCTGGGATTACAGGCAAGCACCATGCCTGGATACACATACAGTTTCTTGTTTGTTTGTTCTTAATTCTATTTCTTTATTTTTACTTTTACTTAGAGAGAGAGAGAGAGAGAGAGAGAGAGAGAGAGAGAGAGAGAGTGTGTGTGTGTGTGTGTGTGTGTGTGTGTGTGTGTCACAGCCTGGGTGTGGAGGTAAGAAGACAACTTCAGTGCTCTCTTTCCTGAGGCTCAAAACTTGGCCTTGGTGGCAAGTGTCTTCACCCACTAAGCCATATTGATAGCCCTGTCATTTTTGTTTTGTTTTTGTTTTTTGGATTTTTTGTTTTTTGGTGTTTTGTTTTGGTTTTGGTTTGTGAGACAAGGCTTTTCTGTATAGCCCTGACTGTCCTGGAATGCACTCTGTAGACCAGGCTGGACTCAGACTTACAGAGATCCACCTGCCTCTGCCTCCTGAGTGCTGGGAGTAAAGGTGTGCACCTCCACTACCTGGCAGGCCTTATCATTTTTAATATAATTGTATTACCGAGATTGGGTTTCTTGTCTTTCTTGCTTGAGACAGGTAGATTGTGGAGGTTTCTTACATTAAAATTTGTAGGATTTTGTTGTTTGAGACAGGCTCTAACCTGTATTTACCTGCCTCAAATACTGAGACCAAAGGTGTATGCCTCCAGCCATTTTATAGGATTTGGTAAGTTTTGTTTTTTGTAATTAAAAAGTCCATAGTATCTTTGACTTTAAAACTGAATAATAGTCTGGGAAGATGGCTCAGTGTGGGCTACATGTTTAACATGTAAGTGCGAGGCCTGAGTTCAAATCCTCTGAGCCTACATGAAGCCAGGTGCAGTACATATGTCTATAAGCCGGTATTCCCATCTCGAGACAGAAGGCAGAAGTGGAAGTCCTGAAGTTCATGATCAGCTGCCCTGTGTGCACAGCAGCACACCACGAGGCACTGCTTCAGATAAGGTGGGAGATGAGACCCAACACTCGGCTCTCTGACCTCTCCAGGCATGGTGCACACACACCTACATGGACATACTTCCGTGCATGCACAGGGAAGATTGAAAACTGAGGTGTGGCTTTGTAGTCATGAAATCAGTTTGGTGGCTGAACACTAGAAGTTAGAAGAAGAGGAGGAGAGATGGCTTGGCGGTTAAGAGTATTTACTGCATGCCTTTAATTCCAGCACTCAGGAGGCAGAGGCAGGCGGGTCCCAGTGAATTCAAGGCTAGTCTGGTCTACAGAGTGAGTTCCAAGACAGCTAGGGCGACACGCGCAGCGAAACCCTCTCTTACCAAAACAAAAACAAAAAATAAACAAAACAGAACTCCGTGAGTTCTGAGTCAACCTGGTCTACACAATGAGTTCCAGGCCAGCCTGGGCTACAGAGTAAGACTCTTTATAGACTTTTTTTTTTCAAACTAAAAAAGAGCCCTTTTCTTCTAACCTGTGTGATATAAGGCCCACACCTACTTACAGGACCAAGGTTACTTGATATGGCTGGCGAGAAATTACACCAAGCTTGGGTTGGAAGGGCCATAGCAAGACTGAATTTTATTGAGAGCAATCAGACTTTGTATACTCTTATCAGAAACAATATAGTGGCAATTTCCAGGATGGATACATTGTAGTTACCAGGATACAATGTTACTGGCAAGCCATACAGAGCTTAATGTCTAAGACCAATTGTCCTGTCAATTGTCCATGCTTCCTTGACTGCTAAGGAACATACAGAGAAACACAAAGCAGCCCGAATGCTTCACTGTCTGAGGGAGTGCCTTGATTCTCAGGAACACAGTCCCCCAGGAACCATGGACTCTCTCCTGAACAATCTATCACCCATGCCTCTCAAGGCAGCGAGGCCAAGCCAGCTCCATGGTTCCCTGCAGCGTGGCACACCTCATTTTGTGTTGCCATGAACTAAATGTTGTTTCTCTTTTCCAATGGTTGAAACCTTTTTAAAAGAATACTTTTTGGGGCTGGAGAGATGGCTCAGTGGTTAAGAGCATTGCCTGCTCTTCCAAAGGTCCTGAGTTCAATTCCCGGCAACCACATGGTGGCTCACAACCATCTGTAAAGAGGTCTGGTGCTCTCTTCTGGCCTGCAGACATGCACACAGACAGAATATTGTATAATAATAAATAAATAAATATTCAAAAATAAATAAAAAATTAAGAATACTTCTTTGTACATAGGGCTTGCCCACAGTTTCTGCTGGCCACAGAGATGCCCGTCTGCTTCTCTCTGCTCTGTGGCTCCTGTGTGCACTGTGCTCATATTTCCATCTGGCCTCAACTGGAGCTTGCAAGCCCATGTTAGGTTTTCCTCTCCAGGACGTGCTGGAAAGTAGTGTGGTGGGAAGGGGTGGGGCAGGAGACTGGCCCTGCGTGACAGCGGCTGGCTCTGACAGCAGACATAGGACTTTAAGTGGTACTGAGCTCAGGGATCTGGGGATGCCACCTCTCAGCCCTCTCCTGTGCTTTTGGGTATCTTGATGACAGAGGCCCTGCAGGAGTACCTGAAGGTGGTGATGGCCCTCAGTTACGAGGAGAAGCCGCCTTATGCCACGCTGAGGAATAATCTAGAAGCCCTGCTGAAGGATCTGCGGGTGTCACCCTATGACCCCCTGGACCTCCAGATGGTGCCTTAGGTGGAATCCAGGTGAGGAGGCTGTTGTCTTAACCCCTCACCCCCAACCAGGCCTGTGAAGGACTGTTTGTCCCAGACCCAGCTCCTGGTAGGCCCTTGGCTTCCCCATTGGCTCCTAAAATTAGTTCAGGAGGAAGATAGCTGGAACTCAGCTAGATGATCTGTGGTAACCAAACAATTCTGAGGGCACCCAAGTGACGCTGTCCCCCTGCCCACTCTTGGTCTCAGGAAGCTCAGGCCATGCCCAAACTTTATGTAGCTGAGGGTGACCTTACTCTAGAGTAGTACTGGGGTGCCCAGTGCCACCATGCCCAATTTAGGCATTTGGGAATGGACCCCAGAGCCTCCCTCATCATCCTAGGATTCCTTGATGCCAGTCACATTTACCTCATCTCACCTTCCTGCCCAGTCCTGCCTCCCATCAACAGGGCGACTGACTTTGAGTTGTGTTGGTCTTGGGCCACTTGCCTCCACATTGCAGGCCCTCGTGTTGTTGGTGCACCTCCAGTACCTCCCAGAAGTCTGGCAGGAAGGAGGGGCTCAAAACCCTAACGCTCCTTGCAACCATGTTTATTGTTTTACAGGCTTCTGACTTGCAGTTGAACTCGAACATGAAGTAGTGTGTCCCAGCTGTTTGATCCCATTCGCTCCTGAAAACCCTTTGAATGTGCTTCTCCCCGCCCCTCAGTGTCGGGGGACCTGAGTCATCTCCCATAATGTGAAACATCCTCATCCCTCCGCAGTTGTGGGTGGAGGTGACTGGGTGCTGGTGGCAGCAGTGGCCACTCCCTAGGGCCCTCCTTCCACGGGCATTCCATAATAAACTTTTAATCAACACCTGAAGCATCCAGTGTTCACAGTTGAGGGAGATCTTTCTCATGTTCACCCAGCCACTCCATCGTTTCCTTAGTAATTCTAGCTGGTCAGTGTGATAGTACATACATGAAGTCCCAGGGGCTGAGAGCTGCCTTAGCATAGCAAGGAAATGTCAATCAAACAAAACCTTCCAACTTGCTCATTCCTACTTTCATGAAGTCAGTCGCCCATCCAGCCAGTGTTACCCGCTTCATCTCGCCACCTTCACACCCTCCAACTGTCTTTTCATCCGTCCACACTTGCTTTCATCCTTCATCTTTGTGTCTTCCATCCATCTGCCTAGTGCTCCATCCTGCCAGACGGTTTCTCTGTAGAACGGCTCCAACTTTTCTGGAACTCACTTTATAGACCAGGCCGGCCTCAAACTCACAGAGGTCCGCCTGCCTCTGCCTCCTGAGGGCTGGGTTTAAAGACGTGCGCCACCACCTCCTGGCCCTACCAGTCTGTGTGTGCTCCTTCCACACCTCTCTTTATCCTCAGCAACCTTCTGCCTGTGCAGGAGGCCATGGGATACAGCAGGTGACAGCTAGTGTTCAGCAGGTTGACCCACCAGACCATGATGGGGAGCCCCAATTGGCAAAGCCATGGAGTTACAGGCTGTAAATGACCGGTTGCTTCTGGCTCTGGTCTCTCAGGTGCTGCTGCATTCCTTCACCTACAACAGCTGTGGGTGCTTTCCTACTGCCTGTGTTTATCTCATATATAAACTCCACCCACTGTGGACACATTTAGCTGTGGATGGTCAGGAAGGTGATTTCTGCTGAGTAGAAATAACGCTAGGATGTTTGACATTACTCAGACTGGCATAGGAAAGTAATAGTATTCTCTGTTACAAAGACAGCTAATTTTAGACTTCAGAGCAAACTGGTTTCCCCTAGAGACAAATACATGAGGTCATTTTCTCAGGTATTTATTGCTAATTCAAGGTCAGAGCTTGAAGCAACTTAAGTAGACATAACTTTCTCAGCAATGGACTTGGTGCACACTCCCAACCTCAAGGTTCAGCCTTTTATTGACTTAAGTCCTAAGTTTCAATGTCACTTTCTGTCTAGGAAAGAGCTTTGTACACAGCCAAGTGTTACTCACTGGCCAGTCATTGTAACCTCCCTGGCCTGAGAAAAAATGTGATTTATCTTGTGAGAATGAGTCAGGCCCCTAAAACGTAATGTAATTGTCCAGAGTTTGGCTGAGAGAGGAGGTATGTGGAGCTGTGCAGAGAACTGCTGTGTAAAGCGCTGGGCAGAGGTGTGTGTGTGTGTGTGTGTGTGTGTGTGTACACGCGCGCATGCTCTTAGGGGTGTAGCTAAATGAGCAGAGACAAGTGTGAGGGAGGAGGCAAGATGAGAGACATGGCCGAGTTGGAATGCAACTGAGACAGATGTAACTGGAGACGTGTGGCTGTGGAGATGCGGAAGGTGGATGGGGAAAGGGAGGGTGTGCAGGGCAGAGAGGCAGTAAAGAGAGCGGTAACTATGTACAGAGATGTGACTGCAGAGAAATGGTCAAGAAAGTGAGTATTTAAATTGAAGTAAAAGAGAAGGTTACCATCAGGAAAGTGTGTGCTTGTTTCTTTTTTCTTAAGTCATCATCAGAAATTGTATGTTTCTTTATTTACTCTCAGATAGAAAAAGTCTAGCCCAAAGATAGAGAAGAAATATTTCCTCAGTCCCTCACTGATCTGAGAAGGCTTTCTTTTTGCTCCCCTGGGTGCAATTCGTGGAGCTGGCCTCCCAGGCTGAAACACACCTGTACATCTGCCACACCCATTTTTTAAGGTTTATTTTATCATGTACATGTGTGTCAATATGGATACTGTGTGTGAATGCATATACCAGCAAAGATCAGATCTCCTGGAGCTGGCATCCCAGGGGGTTTTGAGGAGCCCATTGTGGATGCTAGGAACGAAAGTTGGGTTCTCCACAACAGGAGAAGCACTTTCAACTCCTGAGTTATTTCTTCAGCCCCCAACCTGTTCTCTTCACTGGGGGATTCGAGACAGGGTTCGAACCCCGAGCCTCAGCCCTAGCCCCTCATCACAATGGCAGGAGCATGTTGGAGAGAAAACCGTATGGTGTACTAGTTAACTTTCCATCATTATGACTAAAGACCATGTACACGGTGTAGACAACTGAGGAAGAAGGGTTTCTTCTGGCTCCTTCACAGCGACTGCAGTCTGTCCTATGGAATGAACAGGGAAGGGTCTGATACCCTGCTAGCTTTCTCGTTTGTATTCATCCTGGGTCTCTGCCTTGGTGTGCTGCACAGGCCTGCAGGCCGAGTGCTTGCTGTGTAGTCTGCTTGCTTGTTCTTGTTAAGACTCAAGAACTAAGGCTCCTTAAGACTCAGGAGAGTAGAAAACATTTTAAAAAGAAAGAAAAGGGAGGGAACAAGCTGGGGATGTAGCTCACAGTAGACCACCTGCCTAGCGTGTATGAAGCCCTGGATACATTCCACATCACTAAAGAGAGGAATGGAGGAAGGGAGGGAACCACAATGTGACTGCTGAAAGAACAGCCAGTGTTCTTAACCTCTGAGCCAGCTCTCCAGCCCTGCTTTTGACCTTTTTTTAGGGATAAACTAATTGGGACATTTTCATACACCTGCTATGCATTGATCATGCTCCTTCTACTGCCCCCACTCACTCTCTTTTCACTTCCCCTGCCTTGAGTCTGCGTTCCAACACATAACAGTCCCTCACATGAGAGAATGTATTTGTCTCTCTGTGTCTGGCTTTTTTTTCTTAACATGGTATCTTTCTGTTCCAAGTATTCTCCAGCAATGAGGTGTGATTTCATTCATATTCATGGATGAATTATATTCCAGTGGGGTGTGTGTGTGTGAGAGAGAGAAAGACAGAGACAGACAGACAGACAGACAGCAGTCCTGGCTGTTTTGGAACTCACTCTGTAGATCAGGCTAGCCTTGAACTCACAGAGATCTTCCCTCTTCCTACTAAGTGCTGGGACTAAAGGTTCGCGCCTCCACCACCTGGCCCACATTTTCTTTATTTCTGCATCTGACTAAATTGCAGATTGTGACTGGTGTTGCAATAAACATGAGTTGTGGGACTCTCCTGGCGTGATGACTTCGTTTCCTTCACTGTGTCAGGATTTGTTAGTCATTTTGTTTCCTGGTTTGTGTAGTTGCTTCCCAACTGTACAATTCCACCAACAGTAGTGAAAAGTATCATTTTTTACATCTCTGCTGGTGTGGAGTGTTCTGCTCAGCTTTGCTTTTGGTTTCTGGATTGCTGCTCTGAGGAGAGCTGGAATCCCACTGCACTCTGATCTTTCTAACAGTGCCTGGGGGTTCTGTGTTCTATTCAGAATCCATTTTTGAGCTGGGAGGTGATGGCTTAACGTCTTTAATCCCAGCACTCGGGAGGCAGAGGCAGGCAGATCTCTGAGTTCGAGGCCAGCCTGGTCTACAGAGTGAGTTCCGGGACAATCAGAGCTACACAGAGAAATCCTGTCTTGGAAAAAAATTAAAAAAAAACAGAATCCAGTTTGGGTTTTTTGTATGTTGGCTTGGGAGGGGTAAGACAGGATCTCACTATATATTACTAACTGTCCTGGAACTCGCTATGTAGACCAGGCTGAGCTCATAGCTTTCTGTGGATGGGAGGTGTGAATCGGCATACCTGGAAAATTCTTGTTTTTCTTTGTCTGCATGTGATATTTAATCAGACATGTCTTCATACTCTGATATTCCTTCTGCTTGACTTAGTCCATTCTGAGGCACTAAACTGGAGGGTTTGTTTATATTTTGTCTTTTGAGGCATGGTCTGTGTGTGCAGCATAGAATGGCCTGGAACTCAGAGCAGCCCTTCTGCCTCAGCCTCCCAAGATTTTATGTCTTGAATTTTTGTTTCCAAGGTTTTTATTTGCCTCTTTTTCAAAATTCTTACCTCAAGGCTGGAGAGAGGGCCCAGCAGTTAAGAGTGTATACTGCCTTTGCAGGCTCATTGCTCACAAGTATCTGTACCCAGCTCCCGGAGACCTGGTCCCCTCCCTGGCCTTTATAAGCACCTGCACTCGCTTGCACACACACACACACACACACACACACACACACACACGCACACATATGTAACACAAATGGGACCTGCTTGTTGGGATTTCTGTCCTGCCCAGTATCCCACAGCCAGCAAGCCCCAAAGAAAAACACACAGAGATCTCTAAAGGTTATAAAGCTGATTGGGCCATTAGCTCAGGCTTCTTAATAACCCTTATCACTTATATTAACCCATTATTCTGATCTATTTTTTGCCATAAGGCCCAGTACCTTATCCAGCAGGGCAGGTCACATCCTGCTTCTTCAGAGTCTGGGCAGAAGTGGGAGGAATCAGCTTCCTCCTTCCCAGAATTCTTCTGTTCTCCTTGCATCATTTCTACTTCCTGTTTGGTTTTCTCGCCTATACTTCCTGCCTGGCCAGTCAGCATTTATTTAAACCATGATTGACAGAATACAGACAATTCTCCTGCACCACTTCCCCCTCTTAAAAAAACAAAAAAAAAAAAAAGGAAAATATCCATAGTCTATTATTTGGATGTGGGCATAGTATTCCAGGCTACTTCCAGCTGGTTGGGGGTGCTGATAATCTTAAGGAGACCTAAAGAAAATTTAGAGTTATTATCAAGTCCTGACTGAAGTATCCTGTGAGTCCTGATCATCTCAGGCAGCAGTCTTGAACCTGTTCTGGATGAAGAACTCAGACATCTGGGCCATCTATTCCTGCCGAAGATTTCTCAGGTGGTCTTCCTTGATCAAAGCTGATTTTTCTTAACTCTGAATAAATCCAGAGCCTCTCGTTTTCTGTGGAAACAAAAGCAAACTCTCTTCTCCAAAGTAACATACCTTTTGACTTCAATTTTGAAGTCAAGGTATTTTCAATCAAAATACCTATCTTGGATTAATTCTGCAGCATTTATAAGCAAATATCTTTTAGCAGCTGTTGCTCC